CTAAAAAATACAATGGGGGAAACTCTGTCTGTGGAGGGCTATCCGATGTTTTAGGGTGTTTTAATATGTCGAGAGCTTTCCTATGTATGGGTTATAGAGATCTCCTCTATGCATGTTTTATGAGGGAACAAGTGACCAATTTCCTATTCTTTAAACGATATATATATATATATATATATATATATATATATATATATATATATATATATATATATATATATATATATATATATATATATATATATATATATATATATATATATATATATATATATATATATATATATATATATATATATATATATATATATATATATATATATATATATATATATATATATATAAGATTTCTTTGGATTTGGGATGAAGAATTTGAGTGGTTTCCTAAAACCTCCTAAATATGGAACAAAGTGGGAAAAATCCTCCTTCCATCATGGGGAAACATTTATTTCTCCTTGCTTATTTCTCTGGACCATTGTTCCATATCCATTTTGTAGACACCTATGATAGGTGATTTGGATTATGGGTTTTAACTCTAGGTCCTATCAAGCGGTTCACCTCAGGTGGCCCAACCCAATTGGGAGACCACAAAATTAGAGGGATTCTCTACATAGACTTCCTCCTCAACTGAACCATTTAAAAATACAGATCTTACATCCATTTGATACATTGATCAATTATTGCTATTCGCAATACCAAAAATCGACTGTTTAGTTTCCAATTTAGTCAAAGGTGCAAACACCTCATCATAGTCTATATCTTTTCTTTGCAAAAATCTCTTCGCTACAAGTCGAGCCTTATGCTTGACAATTTCACCTTTTGGATTTGCCTTCACTTTATAGGCCTATCTCACACTAATTGGATTTTTCCATTTCGGTAAATTGACCAGCTTCCAAGTACTGTTTTTCTCAATCGGTTCCAGCTCCTCTTTCATCGCACACACCCACTTTGAATTGCGTAATGCCTCCTCCGTGCACACGGGCTCGAATTCGGCCATAAGTGCAAAGTGAATAAGATCACCATCATTGTTGATCTCATTATCATGTAATACTTCACAATGTCGGAGCCTTTGAGGTAGACCTCTGTGTCTTGTTGGCCGTCTACTGGATTCACCATTTTCGAATTCGACCGATTGCAGAACTGTCTCTGTAGGTTGCTGACTTTCTGCATTTTCTACATTTTCTGGTGGAAATCGGTTTCCAGTAACAAGGGAACCGATTTCTGCTTCTAGAAATTCAATTCCAGCAGCTTCAGAATGTAAAAATCACGAAGGAAATCAGTTTCCTTCTGTTGGGAAACCAGTTTCTGCTGCTTTCATATGAATTTTTCTACTATCAAATAGCCTCAACTCATCCACGACCATATCTCAACTAATAACGATCTTCTTTCTACTTACATAAAACAACTTGTAGTCTCCGGTATGATGATAACCAACTAACAACATTATCTCTCCTTTGTGATCCAACTTCTTTCAAAGCTGATTTGGAATATGTCGAAATGCTACTGAACTGAAAACCTTCAAATGACTCAAACTTGGTTTTTGACCAGACCATACCTCTTCTGGTGTCACTTTGTACAACTTCTTAGTAGGGCACCTATTCAACAAATAGACGGCTGTAGATACGGCTTTACCCCATAGTTCATTCGGCAAGCTTTTTCCCTTCAACATGCTACGAACCATATTCGTTATCAAAAAATTTCTTCTCTCGGCAACACCATTTTGTTGTGGCATATAAGGTGGTACAGCCTCACGCATTATACCCTTAACATCACAATAATTCCCAAACTCACTCGAGGTATACTCGCCTCCACTATCAGTTTTGAGAATTTTCAACTTGTGACCACTTTGCCGCTCTGCCATAGATTTAAAACGTTTGAACATATAAAACACCTCATCTTTCTTCTTGATTAGATAAATCCATAGCTTCCTACTAAAATCGTCAATAAAAGTGACAAAGTACCCATTTCTACCATACGAGTCGACTTGCATTGGACCACAAACATCGAAGTACACCACCTCAAGATGATGTTTGGTCATATGACCTACATCCTTGCTGAAACTATTCTTGTGTTGCTTCCCTTGAACACACTCTTCACAAATCTCAACTGGAATATTGATCTTGGGCAGCCTGGTCACCATACCATTCCTTTGTAACGTGTCGAGGTCTCGAAAATTGAGATGAAATTGAGATGTCCAAGACGGTAATGCCACAACCACTCATCACGATTTGCTGCTGTAGAAATACACATGTGCTCCAACACTTTCAACTCTATCTTGAAAGTACGATTTGCAGCTATGGATGCTCTAAGAATTAAGACTCTGTTTCGGTCCAAAACACGCAAAGTCTTATTTTCCATGCGAATTATATAATTCTTCTCAAGCAGTTGACCAATGCTCAAGAAATTACATTTAATTCCAGGAATGTATAACACATCATTGATCAAGGAGTGACTCCCATCCTTCTTCATGATCAAAACATCACCCACACCATCGGCCAATAAAGTGGTGTCATCCACGAATTTTACTCTATTCTTCGTGGCTTGAATGATTTTGACAAACCAATATTGTGTACCTGTCATATGCATTGAACAACCAGAATCCAAGTACCACTCATCACTTCTTTGAGCTCCATCTCGAACGGTTACCATTGCATTTCACTCCGGACGCGTTTCTGTGAAATTGTCTACACTGCAGACAATGCTGCTCAACTTCTGACAGCTGCTACTGATGCTGTCCAGCAGCTTTTCCATACCATAGTTCTCTTCTGTGATCATGACCAGAAGTGTATTATCATCATCCACCTCTTGTCTTGCTACCTTAACCTCATGACCTTGATTTTCCTTCAATTTTGCATTACATTCTCTTGCGAAATGCCCAAGTTTGTGACAATTATAACACTTTACACCACTCTTATCAATATTTTTGGTGTAGTTACCTTGACCACCAACTTTAGAGCTGCTCTCTCCCCTTTGCACCATCGAAGCCTTTAAATTTTGTGACTCTTTGACACCAAAATTATGAGAATTTTCCTTTTCTTTTAAAAACTATTTTCCTTTCGATCTCTTGTTCTTGTCATTGAATCGTGCTTGTAATGCAATCTCCGCTTTGACCTTGTCATTTCCTCTTCATCCATCCTTTGTTTATGAGCCTCTAATGAGTTTTGAAGCTCCTCCTTTCTCATTGTAAGAAGATCTTTTGATTCTTCTATTGCAACCACTATGTTGTCAAATCTTGACGTTAAAGAACGCAAGATCTTTGCTACCATATTTTTGCACCGTTACAGTTTCACCGCAAGACTTCATTTGATTCATCAAACGCGTTATACGCGTAATGTAATCATTTACCGATTCCTTCTCTTCCATTTGCACTAATTCGAACTGCCTCTTGTGAGTTTGTAACCTCAAAATCCTTGCTTTATCGGTCCCTTCATAAGCTTTCTTCAAGATCTTCCAAGCTTGCTTCACCGACATGCAATCTCCAACATTTTCAAAGTTATCGTTGTCGATGCAAGAATGTACCAAGAAGAGTGCTTTGTAGTCTTTCTTCTTCTCTTCCTTGAATGTAGTTTGTTGTACAACTGTAGCTTCTTCCCCAAGAGGTGTAACACCATCGTTAACGACTTCAAGAACTTCTTGATACCCAAACAAAACTTCATTTGTTTGCACCATTTGTCATAGTTCTTGGAATTAAGAATTGGAAGGACGGTAGAGATTCAATCACTCGAAACGGTAGACATAATTTGCAGTGGGTTAATGGATCGGAATCAAGGCTCTTGATGCCAAATGTTAGAACATACACAAAAATGAAGTTTGTGAATTAATGGTGAAATGTGGTTAATTAGAGAATGCGGAGTTTAGAGAGAAAAATAGAGATTATTATAGAGTAATTAAGGAGAAAATTATTATAATTGGCATTAACTAAACACATTACATGAGGATTTTTATATGAGTGTTAAAATATAACAAACAAACAAAACAAACTCAAAAACTGTTACAAACAGCAAATTGGAAAACAGAAAATCGCGGCAGAAACCAGTTTCCATATTTTAGGAAACCGGTTTCCTCTTCGAAAATTCTAATTCCAATAAAGGCACATAACAACTTTTCAAAGCTGTTTTCCCAAAACAGTTTCCAAAGACTTCTAAATAATAGTATTTGACTTAAACTAAACATCCAATATATTTCTAAATAATATTTGACTTAAACTAAACATCCAATATATCTGGTCCTGTCGCTTTCTTTGGGATACTTCTATTATGGCCTAGTAAAATTATCCTAATCTAGCTTGCAAGGAAGAAATTCTCTATTTTTCACTCCGTCGTCGTCGTCACCACCACCACCACCACCACCAACACCACCACCACCGGCGGTAGTGTTTGCAGTTGCGTTTTGTTTGTTAAATTTGTTATATTTATTTTCCATGCTCTTTTCTGTTTTGATTTTCAATTTTGCTTGCAATGCCCTTTCTACTGAAAGTTCTACCCTTTTCATTCTTCTTCATTCTTGGGTCAGCATATCATTTACAAATTCTGCCAAGGTAAATTTTGACATGTCTTTGGTATTTTTTAAAGGAAGTGATAGTTGCTTCAAATCTTTGAGGGACTATCACAAGTATTTTCGAAACTATTCTAGAAATAGACCATTTCAAAAACTTCAAATTTTATGATTTTCACTTAGTTTTCCTGTATATGTTCCAAATCTGTTGCTTGCTGGATTTCAGTGTTAATTGGACGGGATACAAGTTTTGTTTTCCGATTAACCGGTGCGAAATTGTTTTAAAACAACAACTGATGGCAAAAGAAAAAATAGAATCGCAAATCACAAACAGTAGAAACTACTAATATAACATGATTTTAGATTAACATTCAATAAGAATAGATAACCGTGCTGCATCACAAGTCACAAAATAGTCTCTTATATTAAAACTGATTTTTATGAAACTATTAAACACATATTAACACACAACTAACTCTTATCAAATATTCTATAACTTGTGATAGGTGTATGGCCTGAATCAAAGAGCTTTGACGATGAAGGAGTTGGTCCAATTCCATCACGATGGCGTGGAATTTGTCAAGTTGACAAAAGTAATACCGATAATTTTCACTGCAACAGGTTAGTTAAATGTGTTATCTTTATTTTTATGAAACAAACTAATCCTTTTATAAAGGATGTAGCAAATATATACGTTACTCTTTTTTTTTTTAATATTCATGATACATAGGAAGCTAATTGGAGCAAGATATTTTTACAAAGGCTATTTAGCAGATCTTGGTGACGCTAAAAATGTAACCTTTAATAGCCCACGCGACCTCAATGGTCACGGGACACATACCTTATCAACTGCTGGAGGTAATTTCGTAGCAAATGCAAGTATATTTGGGTATGGAAATGGAACAGCAAGCGGTGGATCACCAAAAGCGCGAGTTGCAGCCTATAAGGTGTGCTGGCCGCCACTTGCTAAAGGCGGAGGATGTTACGAAGCAGACATTTTGGCTGCGTTTGAAGCTGCCATAAGTGATGGTGTTGATGTGATTTCCGCGTCTTTGGGTGGTAGTCCTGTTGAATTTTTTGAAAGCAGTATTTCCATAGGATCTTTCCATGCTGTTGCTCAGGGCATTGTTGTAGTAAGTTCTGCAGGAAACACGGGGCCTTCTCCTCACACAGTATCTAACGTGGAACCATGGTCCTTCACAGTTGGTGCAAGCACAATGGATAGATCTTTTACTAGTTTTGTTACACTTGGTAACATGAAAATAATCAAGGTATGTTATTAAGCAAAATTTGGTTTTTATATAAAAATGTTACTGTTATATGATTATATCATAATGATGTTACTAAGTATGTTACTCTTGATTTTTAGGGAGCTAGCCTTTCCGAGTCGAACTTGCCACCTAACAAGCTTTACCCTTTAATAAGCGCAGCTGATGCCAGAGCTCATAACGCATCTTCAGCTATCGCGTAAGAATATTTTTCTAGCAACCTTTTTAGAAGTTTTTGTTTAGTGAATATCAATTCTATCTTAATCTAATCTATTCCAATTTTGTAGCTTGCTTTGCAAGAATGGAACTCTTGATCCGACAAAGGTTAGAGGAAAAATATTGGTTTGTCTTCGCGGTGACAATGATAGAGCTGACAAGGGTGTGCAAGCTGCTCGTGCTGGCGCTGTTGGTATGGTTTTGGCTAATAACAAAGAAGGAGAGAATGACATTATAGCTGATGCTCATGTGCTTCCTGCTTCACATATTACATTTAAAGATGGAATCTACCTTTTTAATTACATCAACTCCACCAAGTAATATATGCTGGATATATTCTTAGTAACTTTACGAACACAGTCTTGATTATTCTTACATAGCATATATGATGCAGGTCTCCTATGGCTTCAATTTCTAGAGTTGAAACACAGATGGGTGTAAGGCCAGCTCCATTTATGGCTTCCTTTTCATCAAGAGGGCCTAATTCCCTTGATCCGTCAATCCTCAAGGTTAAATATATGTTAGCTTTTTTTATAAAAAAAACTCATGTGAATTGTGTCATTGTAATTTTGGTTTTACATGTTTCAGCCCGACATTACGGCTCCAGGAGTTGAAATAATTGCTGCTTTTAGTGAAGCTGCATCTCCTTCTGATCATGCATCTGATAAACGCAGATCTTCTTACAATACTTTGTCAGGAACATCAATGTCATGTCCCCATGTTTCTGGCATTGTTGGTTTAGTTAAATCTATTCATCCTGATTGGAGTCCAGCTGCTATTAAGTCCGCGATTATGACCACAGGTAACATAGATTTTTTATTGACCTATATTGTGCTAGACTCCAATTTATAACACAATCTTAATTATAATGTTACATTGCAGCAAGAATAAAAGATAATACTGGAAAACTTATGTTGGACTCGTCGCTGCAAAATGCAACTCCATTTGCATTTGGTGCGGGGCATGTCCAACCTAATCGCGCCGTGGATCCTGGACTTGTTTATGACCTAAATATTACCGACTACATGAACTATTTGTGCAACCGTGGCTACAAAGGTTCTCATCTTAGTGTCTTCTACCGCAAGCCATACACTTGTTCGGAATATTTCAATTTAGTAGATTTCAATTATCCAACAATCACAATTCCTAACTTAAAGATTGGACAACCTCTAAATGTTACTCGTACACTTACTAATGTTGGACCCCCAAGCATATATGTGGTTCGCATCGCAGCACCTCGCAAGGTTTTAGTCTCTGTTGAGCCTAATGTACTAAAGTTTAAGGAAAAAGGTGAAAAGATAGAGTTTAGAGTCACTTTGAGTTTGAGGTCTCTGCCTAAGAATAATAATAGTAGCAGTATTGATTATGTATTTGGGAGCTTGGATTGGACTGATGGCAAGCACCATGTTAGGAGTTCTATTGCAATTAAGCCACAAAATTAAGGTTTCTGTCTTATTTTCTTTCTAGTCTATCAACATTTTTTTTAGGTGTGCAAGTTTCTTAATAACACATAAAGTGATTATATCAATATACACGTTCATTTGGCTTACATGTTTCCTGTTGAAATAACTTTTATTAGGATAGGATTTGAACCTTTGGCGGAATAATCTCGATCAAATTTTACATCTTTCAACTCCTAATTATTATGGTCACTTTTTTCTGAAAATCAAAGTGTTTAAATTTTATTTTTTATAAATTATTTATCCTTTGCACACAAGAGATTTAACAATGTTATATTTTTAGAGTTGAATTATGTTATGTGGTGGAACTAAAAATGGAGGAGATGGGGAAGCTACGACGAGCGAAGCTTCTCTAGCGATTTTAGGGAGGAGTATCTTGATCTGAAGGTTGCGATTATGGTGCTCCCATAATCAGAGAGGTTTATCTTGAACTAATATCTTTAATCTCCGGTGGGGTGGACCTAGGGATGCCTGTAGGTTAGTACTCCAACGCCTAAGTTCGTTAGGATTATTGATAATCGTAGTGAAAGTGGAGATTAGAGATTTTGTACCTGGAAAATCTATTGAGAAGGTATTTGTACCTTAGGCTTAATAGAGCGGGGATGATAATTTGGCCTTGCCTTATTAGGCTTTGGCCGGCACGGAACAGTTGCCCCCTGTTAGCCTAATAATTTTAGCTAAAGGATTCGAAAGAGAATGGTAAAGACCATGTTTGAAAATGTTAAGTGTAAAGAGACTCAATCATATTTTCGGCATACTAACCATGTCGACTAAAGATGGGTTAACTAAGTTATCAGATGGTCTAAGACATAATATATTTTAACACTCACGAAGCCTGATTTGAAAGAGTTTCAGGAACAAATCTACAAGATTAGGATCACTTCTTGAAAATATGTCCACAATCTCAAAAAGGCTTGTACTAATCAGCACTTCGACGTGGAGATGTGGTGTTGAGTTCGACACTCTCATCAGATGTTGGCGATTTAGTATATTCTTAAGTCTAAAGATTAGGTGATTTGAACGTATTTCAACACCTCAACAGGGTTGGACAAAAACATCCCTTGACAAGAGCGGTTGAAAGTTCTAAAGATGGTGTTCAAATGGTGAGACAATAGTTAGAAGAAGTTTCCAAGACCAAGAACATGTGGAAGTACATAAGAAGATAGAAGTCCATGTAGTACGGTACGTGTCGAACACCTGGGGAGTAATCGTTATCGACGGTTACTAAAGAATATTATATAAGTCAAATTCATTGATGTAATCAAGGTCACAAAATTTACTTATTTTCTATAGAACTAAAGTATTCAAGTCATAGAGACAAACAATTATGAGAAAAAGTATGAGTTTGCATCATTTCTTTAAAAATTTAAGTCTTTTTAATTGAAACATTTACTTTAATGATATTTATTATGCTTTTTGTCTATTTTCTTCTTCCAAAGCAATTACATAATGTTTGAATTAGAGTTTATGTTTAGTTTGTCAATATTCAAATATCTAAGTTCCAATCACAAACACTTTTCGTTGTACTTTTTTTTTATAAATTGTCCTGAGAATTTTTTCGAGTTTAATCCATTAAGTGAACTAATTTTTTTGATTTGATTTACTAAAAATACTAGTAAATAAATTGGAACGTTCAGTAGAACCCTTTTGTGCAAGAAATTTTAACTTTTGTAGAAAAGTGTTGTGTCTTTTATTGTTTACTTTGTTCTTCGTGTATGAAATATATTCAAAGGTAGGGTATTTATGCGTTTGAGGAGTGGTAAGACTCTTGCTGAAATGATATGTCCAATGTTAAAGAATCTTCTCCCTCCCTAGAACAATGATCCAAATGTAGAAGGGCAACTGACTAAATCGACGACTGATAGTGCAGGAACTTCAACAACGCTTGGAGTAACTCCTCTGAAGGTGCAAGAAACACAAGAAAAAGGATTTGAATTGGATTTCTAAAAATAAAATATTTTCGAAACCAAACACTTGAAGTTAACACAAGAACAAAAATAAATGAATACAATTATTTTTATCCTGGGTCACCGTTAACGAAGTTAATACAGTCAACCTACCAAGGTGATTTTCCTTTCTCAACAAGGACTTAATCCACTATAACCAAACTGATTACGAACACAAACAAAGACTAATCGTTAATATTTACAACCACAAAGACTAACTTCCAATGTCTTCTTGAGAATTATGACTAAAGTCCTAGTATCTCAAGGAACAATCAACTCATTGTTGAATACAAGATTGTGTATTTACAAGATTGCTTCTTGAAAGCAGATTACACAAAAATAAAGTACACATAATAACACAATACTGTTAATAGCAAGTTGATAAACAACAATTCCTTGATATCAAGTTAACGAACAAAAGTTCCTTGCTTTACAAAACTTTACAAAAGATTTACAAAGTAATTTCAACAGGGTTTTAGCAATGTGAATCAACGCAAATTCATTATTTTTCCAATTCATCCAAGTATTACTTTTATAGCCAAAAAGAAATCCATTGGAGGGTAGAATAGCAATACCAAGAATTCTAGCTGTTTTCTTGCAACATTTAGTGTGAGTGGTAGACAACATCGTGCCAATAGTACAGTCCTTACACCATAAAAATAGGGTAATGGAAGGAGGTGATCTTGTACTATTTATCACGTAAACCTTTTGATCTTATATTCTAATCTTCAGAGGCTTCAAAATATGTAAGAGTTAAAGCATGCTCAGAAGGATCAAAAACCTTGTCTTCAGAACCATGTCTTCAGAGTCTTTAAAACTTGTTCAGCAAAACCTTGTCTTCAAAACTTAGTCTTCAGAGTCTTGTCTTCAGAATCTTCAGAACTCGTTCATTAGAACCTTGCAATAACCTAGTTTAAATTCCCGCACAATTTCTTTATGCCTTATATATATATATATATATATATATATATATATATATATATATATATATATATATATATATATATATATATATATATATATATATATATATATATATATATATATATATATATATATATATATATATATATATATATATATATATATATATATATATATATATATATATATATATATATATATATATATATATATATATATATATATATATATATATATAACTGTGTAGGAATAGGCTTGTATGGCAAGTTAAAATTAATCGATAGATAACCTTAAACAATTCCAAGATAACATAACTGTAATTGAATCACTTTACACACATACACCTCTAGAGAGATCCAGTGTGAGAAAAACCTTCTAAATGGATGTTGCTAACACAAAGGATAGAGATAGATACAATGCTAAACCTCCTATTTTTGATGGAGAGAAATTTGACTATTGGAGAGATAAAATAGAAAGCTTATTTCTAGGCTATGATATTGATCTCTGGAAAATAGTTACAAATGGTTATGAAGAACCTGTCAGTGCAATTGGTATTCCTATTCCCATGAACAGTGAATGAAGATCAGAAGCACAACTTCAAGAATCATCACAAAGCCATAACTATCCTTCTCAGCACAATCTCGTACAATGAATATGAAAAGATTACAAACATAGAAACAATAAAGGATATTCTTGATTCAGCCAGAATGACACAAGAAGGCAATGCACAGATCAAAGAAACTAAGGTCTTGTCCTTAATTCAGAAATATGAAGCCTTCAGACTAGAAGATGATGAAATGGTTTAAACTATGCTCTCAAGGTTTCAAACCTTGGTGGCAGGACTTAAGGTTATGGACAAAGGATATTCCACTACAGATCATGTCAAGAAAATCATCAGAAGTCTTCCTAAAAGATGGAGACCTATGGTTACTACTTTGGAGCTTTCTAAGGATCTGAATAGTATAACTCTTGAAAAGTTAGTCAGTTTGCTTAGAAGTCATGAGATAGAGCTAGAATAAGATGAGCCTCAGAAAAGAAACAAATCTATTGCTCTAAAATATAGAACAAAAAGAACCAAATCAGAAAAGAGCAAGGCTTTCCAAGTTGAAGAAATTGAAGAATCTGATGATGAATATTCTGATGATGAAGAAAAATTATCACTTATATTCAGAAGAGTTAAACAACTCTGAAAGAAAAGACAAAACAATGGTAGAATATTAAGAAATAGAAGATATCATTTAGAAGCATATGATAAAGGAAAAGCCAGTAATAAAGTAACATGTTTTGAATGCAATGAGCATGTACACTATAAAATTGAATGTCCAAATCTCAAGAAGGAGAGCACCAAAAAAGAAAGTTTTAAGAAAATTATTTTCAAAGGAAAAAAGAAAGGTCTCATGGCAACATAGGATGATTATGACTCTGAAGGACCAGAATCAGAAGAAGAACATGCCAACGTAGCATTCCTGGCCTCCTCATCATATGGAAACTCATCAGAAATAGAGGTCGACTCTGAAGAGGTATTTTATGAATTCTCTCGAGCTTAATTAGAGTTATGTTTATCAAAAACTCTAAACAAGCATATAAGCTTTAATGGAAATTCAAGAACCTTCAGAAGGTTTATGAATATGAAGTTGAAAAATATGGTAAGTTGGAGAAAGAAGTTTCTAAACAAAAATGTTACAATCTGTCTAGAGAAAAAGAAAAAACCTTTCTAAATAAAAATGGTTTAGAACTTGAAGAAACCATTTCTAGAGCTTCTCCATCTTCTGAAACTTCCTTATGTAAGTATGACAAGGCTTTTCAGAAATTCTTAAACAATAGTATAGACAAAAATATGATGGCCTCTATGATCTATGGTGTTAGTCAAAGTAGAAGGGAAGAAACATGTTACGAATCTGATAACAATAATCATAATTTTTTTTTGAGAAAATTAACCCATATCTCCTTTTTCGTATCATTATAATTTGGCACAAACACAAAAATTTAATGCTGCACGAAAACCCGAGTTTACTAGAAACTCTGGGAAAACTAACTCTAAAGGACCCAAAAGATCGTGGGTACCAAAAGAAAAGATTGTATATGTTGCATATATCTAATGTAGCAGAGTTA